AAGGAAAAAGAAAAGCAAGGAATCTAGTCTCTGCCCCAAAGTAGCTTACTCTAATGGGGGAAGACAGTACATAAAAGGGGAGCAAGGTACACATGGTGACACGGCTAAGAGTGTCCAGGAAATGGGGTGGCTCCAGAGGCAGAGTTCCACTCTTGGGGGTGGGGTGGTGAAATGAAGATGGCACGGCTGAAGATGTCCAGGAAGTATGGGTTATCACGATTCGTATGACCCTGTCCAGGCTCAGCTCTTGATTGTTTTCTTTCGCCAAGGTGATGGCTCCAGTGCACTGGACCATCTCTACCCAGGTTCACCCTCAGTGCAAGTGGTAGTCTAATTTCTTCTTGTTGCTGCCTAGGCACTTGGGTGGTCATATCAAGGCCTGCTTGTTCCTTCAGGGATCCAGGTTTCTTGTCTGTTGAGTAGCCTTTTTCCTTCAGGTCCCTACTTTGTACAGATGCTGGAGTGACTCAGTTTCCCAATTGGGAAAGACACCTTTTTCCTGCACAGTATAGGACCACCTAAAATTCAACACAGTTTTAGCCTCCGAGGTTCAACAACTATTTTTAATCTTTAGGTTCAGCACCTCTTTAATTTGTAATCAGTCAGCAATGTGCTGGAGCCAGCTTGATTGACGCACAGGAGGCGATTACTAAATTTAAATAATTATTTAATTATTAAATCAGTGTGAGCATTTACATCTCAGAAATAAGCAAATGTTACAAATTGGGGCTTGATTTGTTTTGTTGTCTAGACTTAAGAAAGTGATGAAGAAAATGTTAATAATTCAAATTAACCTTATCGTGTCGTGTGTGTGTGTGTGTGTGTGTGTGTGCGTGCGTGTGTTTTCCAGAGAGGTGGTTGCTAAACATTTACAAGCATACTGCTAGACTCAGCACATTACTAGCCATTTCACTACAAACCACTTTCCCATCTCCTAGTCCCCCAAAACTCATGATCAATACAGGTGTTCCCTCCAATGATGCACATGACCCACCTACTCGTTCTCACCCTAAACGACCATTGTTTGTGTCCAACGTGCTGGGGACCTTCCTTTTGTCATGGCAACATAAAAGACCATACTCTGGTTAGTAGGTGAATTGTTCAAAATGTATGAACAGCTGCAGCTGGGGGGAATTCATTCTCTTTTTGGAGCAATGGATCCCAAAGGATCAGTGAATATCATGGTTTCTTTTTAGTTAAAAACATGGGAGTTTCCTCAGCAATGGGAAGTTGAGTGGGCTTCAGTGAGGGTCAGGAGCATGGAGAAGGAAAAAGGCTTCAGGGTCACATTTGGTACTCACCTCAGCTTTCAGAATCCTGGGACTTGGGCCTGAGCAGAAGAGTCTGGGACAAGGTTATACAATTTGGCTGTGCAGATAAGGCATTTTAAGTATTAGTTTGAGGGGCAGCTAGATGGCACAGTGGATAGAGCACAGGCCTTGGAGTCAGGAGCACCTGAGTTCAAATCCAGCCTCAAACACTTAACACTAGCTGTGGGACTTGGGACAAGTCACTTAACCTCGATTGCCTCACAAAAAAAAACAGAAAGAAAAAGAAAAAAAAAAGTATTAGTTTGAAATCTTTCCATCTGTTCTCCCAGCTCTCACTACTTCTGATCAGTCCATCTATCTCTTTGAAAGCATCTTTATGACGCTTCTCATACTTTTATGGACAATTCATTATTGGGTCAACACACTTTACCCTTTTTACACACACTATGTGTCTCTTCGTTGCACTTTGGGTAACCTATATTTTTGATTTCTCAGATTGTAATGTTCTATAATTCACAGCCATATAGAATCACTGTAATTTTTTATGGGGGGGTATCTCAGTGTTTTCATCTATGTGTGGGAATTCTCGGTGAGAGAAGTCCACCCATGGCTGCAAATCAACAACTCATCTGATTTATGGTTTTTGAGAGTTGCCAGAGGCACTGAGAGGTTAGACTTGTCCTTAGTTATGTTACGTTATGACTTGTCCAGTCACAGAGTTGGGACATGTCAGACTTGAACTCAGGGCTTCTGGCCACCAAAGCCGACACTCTAACCACTGTGCCACACCGCCTCGATATTGGATGTTGTTGTTAACATCCTGGATTTATCTGGCAAGGTCACCATTTCCCAAATATAATCCAGTCCACTCTCCTCCTATTCACTTGTGTGCCCTGATCATCTTCCATTTCGAATATGTCTGATAGAAGCAGGTCATACACCTAGGAAATATCTGAGGCTGGATTTGAACTCAAGGAGAGGAGTCTTCCTGACTTCAGGCCTGGCGTTCTATTTACTGTACCACCTAGCTGCCTCTATGATCTTGTGATCTACCAGTGTATCATCACCCCAGCATGCTGCCTGCTTTCTCTTTAGCCAGCCACTCTCCCATATCTTGCCCCATCTCTACCCATAGATTTCCACCATCCTTTTCAGCTAAGCATGCTGAAAGCTGTTGAGCTGGCACATTAGCCAGCTCTGAGACCCTGATAGAAGAGCAGCTGTAGGGGCCGTCCATCCAAACGTACAGCAATTTGAACAAAAGGCCTTCTTTAGCCACGGGGCTTTACTTTTTTGCACAGCTTGGCCAAAGTCTTGAGTGATTACCAGTCTCAATAGGAGGTATGCCTATTCCAGGGCTTGATGGGATCAGCACAAAGTCACCTGAAAACCTAAGAACCTGCAGGATGATACCATCTAAATCCTCTATGACAGTAGCAAAAGCCTTTGATGAGTCAACATCTCACTTTCTAATAGAAGGTCATGTATTATCTCTGTTGCATGATCTTAACATATGTGTGGGAGAGCCTTTAGAGCTTCATTTTTCTCTACGGAATTGAATGCTTTTTTTTAAAAAATAAATTTTTATTGATATCTTTTGGTTTTACACAGTGAAAATGTCTCCCAGCATTCTTCCTCCTCCCCAGAAAACCATTTCATATCATGAAGACTAATTTTTAAGGAAAAGGGAAAATAAATTAGCAAAACCGATCACTATTTAAAAAGTCTGAAAATATAAGCAACGTTCTACACCTGTGAACCTCCTACCTCTGCAAAAGAATGGGTTGGGGACATCTTCTAGTCCTCTTCTTAGGATCCACGGTTGTTATCTGTAATTTGGCGACATTCACTTTGCTTGTTTTGTGGTTGTTCTTTCCGCGTGCCTATGGAGTTGGAGTCATTGCTGCGGAGGTTGTTTTCTTGGCTCCGCTTGCCTCACCACACACCGGTTCATGTGAGTCTTTCCATGTTGCTCTGTACTCCTCCCATTCGCTACTTCTTATAACACAATAACATTCCTTCACATTTATTTAACACGGTTTGTTTAGTTATTCCTCAATCAATGGGCATCTAATTTTGTTACCAAAAAAAAAAATACTGCTATAAAAATTTTGGCGTATATGGAAGCTTTCCTCCTATCAATGATCTCCTTGGGGTATATGCCCAGTAGTGAAATCTGTTGTCAAAGGGTATGGATATTTAGGTGGTTTTATTTGCATAATTCCAAATTGCTTTTCAAAATGGTTGTACTGATTCACACATCCACCAAAAATGTACCAGTGGGCCTATCTTCCCCCCAACCTCTATAACATTTGACTATAGCCATTTTTTGGTCATCTTTGCCAATTTACTGAGTGTGAGGTGAAACTTTGGGGTTGGCTTAATTTATATGTCTCTTATTATTAGTGATTTGATGCCTTCTTTCACATAGCTATGGATAGCCTCTAACTCTTTTGAGAACTGTTTGTTCATATCCTTTGACCACTTAGCTATTGGGGAATGGCTTTTGGTCTTAAACACATCCGTTAGTTTTCCATGTATCATAGATGTCACTTAAAAAAATCAGTCAGAAAGATAACCTGGTAGAGTGAATAGAGAACTGCCCTCAGAATTAGGAAGACAATGGGTGGATGGGGAAGGGAAGGGAGAGAATTTGGAACTCAAAGTTTTAAAAATGAATGTTAAAAATTGTTTTTTATATGTATCTAGAGAAAACTAAAATACTAAATAAGAATTAGGAAGACATAGGCTCAAGTCTTGCCTCTGACACATACTGGACATGGGTGACGTGCCCCAGAGCTGCAGACATGAATGGGAGTTTATTACATCAATGAAATGATAAGTTCGGTCCCAAAATAGATCGTGTATTCTCTGCACCTCTTAGTCAGCTGTGACACTACTAAAAGCAACCTCTGAAGACTGTTCGCAACTAGTATTTTAAGTGTATGGAGGCAGGTCCAGTGGACAGATTCCACGTTGACTTTTGGAACTACATCCCCCAGAAGCTAATGTGCCAGCTCAACAGCTTTCAGCATGCTTAGCTGAAAAGGATGGTGGAAATCTATGGGTAGAGATGGGGCAAGATATGGGAGAGTGGCTGGCTAAAGAGAAAGCAGGCAGCATGCTGGGGTGATGATACACTGGTAGATCACAAGATCATAGAGGCAGCTAGGTGGTACAGTAAATAGAACGCCAGGCCTGAAGTCAGGAAGACTCCTCTCCCTGAGTTCAAATCCAGCCTCAGATACTTCCTAGGTGTATGACCCTGAGCAAGTCACTTTACCCTGCTTGCCTCAGTTTCCTCATCTGCAAAATGAGCTGGAGAAAGAAATGGCAAACCACTCCATTAGTATCTTTGCCAAGACAACTCCCAATGGGGTCATGAAGTGTTGGACACACCTGAAACGACTGAACAAAAATACAAGATCACAGGATACCAGATTTAGGGCTGGAAGGAATCTTATAGGTCATCTAGCCCAATTCCCTCCCTTTACAAATGGGAAAACTGGACAGAGAGGTGACATGACTTGTCAAGGGTCACACTGACATTAAGTATACGGTAAGATCTGAAACCACATTCTCTGACTCCAAATTCACTACAATTTCCAATGTATTTACTGACTAGGAACTCTAGATCCCCACTAGAAGAGAATCTCAAAATATTATGAACAAAAATACAAAACAAGGAGGAAACATACTAAAACCAGTATGATTTAATAGTCCTAAAAAGCAATCTAAAAATACCAAAAGCATAGCAATAGGATAAAGTTCCTCAAGGTATGAAAGGTAATAAATAAATGACAAGAACCAGTGAAAAGCTTAAAATGATCTGTTGCCAACATGGCTAGCTTCTGAGGTACCTTGGAGAACTGACACTGGTGCTCCTGAGTTTCACTTTGGGGGTGGGGAGATGTCAGGAATTTAGAGTGAGGGTTTCTCCAAGAAGTTCCGGGGAGGGCATCTCTTCCTGATCTTCTCAGGCACTGAGCTCTTAAGCTCTTACCTGTGACATAAGGGCACTGCTTGTGGTATCTGGGCAGAACAGGACATTGGCATGGAAGCAGCACGCTCCTATATTCTCTCTCTCTCTCTCTCACTCTCTCACTCTCTTTTATCATCTCCACATGAGGAGAAGCTGTCTTTTAGTCTCTGAAACCTTCCTTTCTTCCTTGTGGACCAGGAGTATTCAGCCAAGAAATGGTACTTTCTGACACCCTAGAAGTGATAACAAGGAATATAGGATATTAACTTGATTTTCTACCAAGAACATTTTTCTTCAAATTGTTCAAGGCCAAGACATCATTTAGTGAGTGGGATGAGATTTCTTATTGAAATACATGCTTGGAATGATGGTTTTAAAATGGACATAACTTGTAATCTTCGCCTCCCCCAAAACAAAAAAGAACCCTGACGATTAAAACAAGGCTTGTCGCTTCCCCACCAAAAATACAGAGTGGTATTTAATGTTCTTCGAATTGCAAACGTGACAGGTACGTATCATTTCTGGAAAGGATTCTTGAACAGTCTGGACTAGATTGTTGTAGACATACACATACACTAAAGTGGAAAATTGAGGTAATACTGCTAAAGAAAAGGCACAAACTGGTTTAGCTTTATCTTCGTGTTTCATAAAAAGCGGGTCTGCATGTGTGTGCTTTGGGTTGGGGTTTTTTTTATTTTTTGTTTCTTGTTTTTTTTTGGCTGAACTCACTGTATATCAAGCAATGGGCGATCATTATTCTTTTATCACTTATTTTACTACTTAAAGAGCACATATGTGAACAGAAGTCTAAAATTAATGAAAAAAACATTTAAGAGCACAGGCATTGAGAATACCGGCTTTACCTCTACATATATTTGGCATTAGAACCTCTCTCTACTAATCCACCCTGTAATTTAAAAATCCCTTGCAACGCACCTGCTTTTCTTGGTGGCACTAAAAGACTTTGGATAAATACTCAAGCCTGCTATTTACCAACTGAGAAAAGCGGGTTAGCATTTCTGACCTTCCATAAATGTTCTCTAGCTCTACAATTATAGCATAAAATATTGCTTTCACATTTCTAATTTCCCAAGACAGCCTGGAGAGGGTGAGGTGAAGGTGGTGGGAGGCAAATGACATTTCTGCAACTGCACAATCTAATGTTCTGGGTTTACACACCATCTTGGCTGTTATGCAGTAAGATGATCATCACTAGGCAACATATTTGCACCAAAACGTCCTAAAGGTGATAACTCCCCTTGTAAATTTCTGAAGCAGGATGGGAAGTGCTCTTATACTAAACAGATTATTCAATAACCACTGATTTCCGAATTTATACCAGGCCTTCATCTCTACCTATCTGTGCCACTGAGAGTGACTTACTTAAAAACAAAATCAAAATCAACTCACTTTTCATTACTGTAAAGGTTAAATTATTGGCTAAAATTAGTGTTCTTGATTAATTGTGAATTTCCTTTTACTATGATTTCTTTGCCTTATTATATAATTAGTTGACTGACAATCCACACCTGGGAGAGCGAGGTGGCACAGTGGATAGAGCACTAGACTTGGAATCAGGAAGACTCATCTTCCTGACTTCAAATCCAGCTTCAGACATTTCCTAGCTGTGTGACCTTAGACAAGTCATTTAACCCTGTTTGCCGCAGTTTCTTATTTGTAAAACGAGCTGGAGAAGGAAATGGCAAACCATTCCAGTATCTTTGCCAAGAAAACCCCAAATGGGGCCATGAAGGGTCTGAAATGACCCAACAACAAAAAAATGAACACCAAATTAGAGAAAGGGGTAAGGGGAAGTAATGGGTTATAAGCATTTAAATAGCACCTATGTGCCAGGTATTACGCTACGTGCTTTACAAACATGATCTCATTTGATCCTCACAGCAACCTTTTGAAGTATGCGCTATTATCCTCATTTTACAGTTGAGGAAACTGAGGCAAACAGAAAATGTGACTTGCCTAGGGTCACACAGCTAGGGAGTGTCTGAGGTCAGCTCCCAATGTCTAGATATACTCCTTGCCTCTGCATCTTAGAATCCCTCCCTCATTTCATTCAAACCATGGCTCAGGTGCTCCACAAGGCCTTTTCCTGATCATCCCTCTCTTTGTCTCTCCACACATATTGTATCCTCCTAAGTTTGTGCCAAAGACAAAGTATTTACGTCCATCCCATTTACAATTAAAGCATTGAAGGGAAGAAACAAGGTCGTCCCCCTTTCCCACTTAGTACCACAGGGTTAAGCTTTGTTCATTACACACTAGTTACGACTCTGAGCAACAGAGAGCAACTGTTTTTTTTTTTTTTTTTTTTAAGAAGGGAATGACGTGGTCAGATATATGAATTAGATTAATTCTGCAGTATTTTTATTATGAAAAAAATCAAGAGGTCAACTGTGTTTACTGACACATACATATGCAGTTGTTTTGCTTTGTTTTTTTTTTTTTAAACTATAAAAAAGCAGTAGACTCAGGGGAAAACAAGCTCTAAAAGACTCTTTTCCAACCAGGTGCCTCACATGCATGTTTGCAGGTTACACGAGATTCCTTGATAAATCCCACCATGAAGATGACTTTGTTCTATGATCCCTGATAATCAGTATCAACTAAGACATACAACAGGGAGACATACATTTGTCAAAGGTGCTTGCCACTGTCGTGGAGGATGTCCTGTGCAAAATCCAAATGGCAGAGGATTGCCTAGAGATGATAAGGTCTTCCAGATGTTCCTGTTGGAAGATGACATTGTGCTGATTGCATCAAACTCCAGAACACACAAGGGTCTCCTCACTAAGATCCATGACCACGCAAAAGAGATTAGCAAAACAATAGGTATTGGAAAAATCAAATGAAAGAGTGCCTATTGTGCAGCTGACATAATACGCAGTTGGAGAGACATATCAGTATGTACATCTTAGATGGATACTGGAGAGAAGAAATGAACTGAACCAAAAACTGAATAGGAGAGAGCAGGCTAGATGGCATTTGGTAACCTGCAGAATGCTTTCCCCAATCCCAAGCTGCTCTCTGATAGAGAAACCTATTTTTTTTTTTCAATACCAACATTCTCCTGATGATGCTACTGTGGCAGCAAATGATGAAATAACCACAATTTTCAAAGAATCAAAACTGCAGGTGAACCAAAGGGCAAGGGATAGGTGCATGGTAGAGAGGGAAAGGCCTATTATCAATGCATGATTTGCACAAAAGAAATAGAATAAAGGCTATCATCCAGGAAATGTATGACTACAAAATGGACAAGTCATGCATGAGAGAAAGGGAAAGTGAGTCTAAGTGCTACATTGGGACATAGAAAATATTAAAAATCCTAGAGGAAGGCCTCCAGCCTGGGGATATGTCCTCTCTGAAGGTTTTCTGAGAGGATGCGGATAAGAATCACACAAGACGAGAGCTGTATGAACTGCACTCTGCCCGGTTAGAAGGAGTGCTCAAGGGGCAGCTAGGTGGCACAGTGGATAGAGCCCTGGCCCTGGATTCAGGAGGACCTGAGTTCAAATCCGGCCTCAGACACATAACACTTACTAGCTGTGTGACCCTGGGCAAGTCACTTAACCCCAGAGCCTAGCCAAATTAAAAAAAAAAAAAAAAAAAGGAGTGCTCACACAACAATGAGTTCATCAGCGAGATCGAAGGATCTGCTCAAATAATTAAAAGCTGCCAACAAATGAAAACCAGTGGAGAATATAAGACATAAATAACCCCAAAAAGCAGTTCGTACATATAAAACAAGGGATTTCCTCATGTCATTATATTCAGAGTTGTATGATGTACAAATCCCCAGGAAGTCATTCCAACTACAGAAGATGATTCCATGGGCTCAAACAACTTCTGTCTACTCCTTTCTCACTAACTTGCACCCAAAAGAAAATTTTAAAACATGTGATTGCCTTCTAGAACAGTCCATAATTCTATCTGTAGATTATGAGATATGTACCTTAATATTTCAAGGGGGAAAAACATTTCTAAAGGGCAAGAAAAATAGGGGTTTTTTTCAGTGACTATTTTCATCTACTGTTTCATTTTAGTCTCCTAACACTTTGAAGGATGGATGTATTATTATCCATATGTTAACAAAAAAAAAAAAAATAAAACAAAAAACAAACAAAAAAACCAAAGAAGCAAAGGACAAAGAGATTAAATGACTCGCCCTGGGCCTTCTGGTTTGCTAGTAACAGAAGCTAGGTTTGACTCAGAGTTCAGTACAAAATCTCACATTCATTATTGAAGGTTTCCAAATCTGTTTTCCTTTTGCATTTATATATAAATCATGTAAACTATTCCATGCTGCCTCCCCCACAACTTTACATACAAGAAATAGAAAAACATTAAAAAAAAGTAACCTTCTGCATAATTAGGTTAACATACAAAAACATGTCAGCATTCTCTAAAATACACACAGATGAATACCATAGAGCAACTGTGTTTGAGCTTTCATTAGGTTGGCCGATACTTGTAATGTCATTTAAAAAATTACTACGAACTTTCAAGATCTGTATATATGCTGGCTGACCTCCTTTTCAATCCTAAAAAAAGCAGGAAAATGCAATTTTCATTATATTCCACAAATCAATTTTAAGCCAAATGATGGCCCATTGCTTTCTCAAAACACCTCCCTTTGTAATGTGTGCTCTGGACTGTGGCAGCCTATGAAAATCACAGACTGACAGAATGTCAAAACTGGAAGAAACCTCGGGGCCATCCAATCCAAATCATACCCAAAAGGGATAGTATTCCATGTGGCTTCACTGAAGAAAGGCTCTGCATGCTCTAAGCATGTCCGACTCTTCATGACCCCCTTTGAGGTTTTCTTGGCAAAGATACTGGAGTGCTTTACCATTCCCTTCTCCGGCTCATTTTACAGATGAAGAAACTGAGGCAACCAAGTGACTTGCTCCAGGTCACACAGCTAGTATCTGAGACTGGACTTGAACTCAGGAAGATGAGTCTTTCTGATTCTCAGCCCAGTGAGCCATATACCATAGGAATTTGTTTTATACAAACCAGAGATGTGTATGAGGTAGATGGCCAGAACAGAGTGCTCCACTGGTACCCACCTATTCAATGCCAAGGGAAGGGAGGCAGGCCGCCAGCATATTAGGTAGATCCCACGTGGTGCATTTAGGGGAAGATATGGACAAAAATCACCCAGGATGATCTTCCACCTGCATCACTCGATGCAGAACGATGCAATCACTGATCCATTTGAGTAGTGAGTTCATAAAGAATATCATTTATAACCCAGAATTTCTAGCCAAGAACCACAGAGTTTATAAAATCTTTCCAACTCCCCAAATGCCTCAACCATGATAAAATTTTTTGGTTATGCCAAAAAACAAAGTGCACAAAGTGAGAATATAAGAATGTCTTTTCACTTTAAAAAGGTTTGGAAATAAATAAAGTTAGGCAGTCTCTGGATACTTTCTTCATAGGAATTGGTCATAATTTTTTTTTTTTTTTGCTTTTTGGTGAGGCAATCGGGGTTAAGTGACTTGCCCAGGGTCACACAGCTAGTAAGGGTCAAGTGTCTGAGGCCAGATTTGAACTCAGGTCCTCCTGACTCCAAGGCCAAAGCTATAACCACTGCGCCACCTAGCTGCCCCTATAATTTTAAAAACGCTTTTAAACACTGTATGTGATCAATAATCCAATGTTATACATAATAATGAAGGCATCTGGGCGTCATCTCAAAGGAGAAGTTTGCAGTACGACCCCTACTTTGTCTCTACATGAACATCACATAGTGGTTTCACTTGCCGTCATCTTCCCTCTACCACTTTCTGGGCGGCTAAAGCTGTCGCCCTTCTTTGCCCCATCCTTTGAGCACGTCAGCTTCAGCCTCACTGTCTTGCTGCTGTATAGTTACTTTGTCACTTGGGTATCCCCACATTCCACCAAGGGCAAGGTTGTTCTAGTCACAGCGTCAATGAATTTGTCATGGTTTGTAAGTTGTTAAGCTGGGGGAAAATTCTCGTTCTGTTTAGAAGCCAAGTGTGGCTTTTCACAGGCACCAGAATCTGCTTTTGCTGCTTTTGGAGATGGCATATAGTGCTTCCTTTTTCTATCACTCTTTATCTGGTCAGCCGTTGTCATTTCATCCAATTCTGATCCTACTCCCGTGGCACTTCTTCAAGCACTCTGAAAACGTGTCAGGCACCTATCTGCACACTCATCTTTTGTTCTTCACAGCACATTGGGGCAAAAACACTCAGAAGCAAACCTCTAGGCCTTAGACCTTTGGATCACCTTCTGTGATGTTCCTGCTGTATCATTTGCTAGTGCGAGGAGGACAGGGCATGCTGCTCACATAAGCACTACCTCAATCTTGGTCTAATTCCACAAACATCACTCTTACTTGAACCTTGCTTCTTTGATAGAAAGTTTTTCAATACGGGCATCATTAAGTGACCAGATTTGGCTCATCTGCACAGCCCAATCTGTTACATCAAGGTGTCAGTCTTCACCCAGACTTTCACGTAAGCTCTCCAAATCTCTCTGGTCAAGGAGACTGTGGGCAGAGAACTCAGTGCCCAGAACTAGTCAACACAAAGCCGACCCCCAGAAGAAAAGTGGTCCTCAAGTACTCATTTTGGAGAAGGAAAGGTTTCTTCGATGGCCTGTAGGCAGCTAAGCTTGAACGTAATCTCCAGTGGAATCAACCACTGATAAATGTTGTTATCGCCTCAATTTGAAGTTGTTCCCATTTGAGGGATAATCAAATCCCTTCTTACAAATGGGGGACTGGCACAGCCATCTTCATGTGGAGAGAGGGGCCAGGCTCTATAAAGCCATTCTGTTTAAAAAGTGGGGCTTAATAGTAGAAAACAAGTGAGAAAGATTCTGTATTGGAGCCAGAGCTATCGTACCTCTCCACCTCTCAGATACACAAAATCTTTGAATATGACTAGGAAAACGGTTTTCTTTTTTAAGATACCAAAGGAGCATGTACCTCCAAAGGCACAAAAACAAGCTCAAGGTATCTTTTTCTAAGACTTGATTGGCACTAAAAGAGGAGCACTACTCAGTAGCACTGAAGCAAAATTGCATGGGCCATGTACTTTTTGCGTAACACTGTGGTTGTTTGGAACAGATCAACGTGGAAAAAAAGAAAACCTTCAAGACAATCATTCTGAAAAGTCAAACGGTTACTCTAACTTCCTCTGCACTTAAATCTTGGCACAGCACACAGCACGCTGGATCTGTGACCTCTTGGAAATCAGACTGCTTGAAGCAGGAAGCTCTTAATGGATAATCTTGAACAGATTATCCACATGGCCTCCCCACTGTTACATATCGACGGTCCAGGCAGCAGCAGCTGCTGCTGCCTTCTGGGCTCAGTGGCATGCCGGAGCCTCGTATTAGGGATGAGGCCCGCAGTCATCCATGGCTCACTGCAGTGGCTGAGTGCTGTGTGTCAATATTAGCTGATTCAATGATGCTTCCCATTATCTGTACAAAGCTCTCCTTCAGAAATGCATCTTACAATGCACCATACAAAAATATCTGTAAAAGTCCACCACATAATAGAAATTTCACTATACATGATTTGGTGGGAGGCAAATGGAAAAAAAATCACTTTGACCATAATAAACCCTGGCAGTAAAAGGGGAGAGAGGAGGGATGGAGGGAGAGGGAAAGAGAGAGAGAGGGAGAGAGAGAGGGAGGAGCGGGAAAGGGAGAAAGAGAGGAGAGAGACAGGAGAGAGAAGGGAGGGGGGAGGGGGGAAAGAGAAGGGAGGGAAAGAGAGAAAGAGAGAGAGATGAATTGAATTAAATGCCCACTATTCATTAAAATATTTTCACTAAGGAAGTGAAGAAATCAACTCCTAATTTAAAAAAAAAAAAATCACGCCATCTACATCAAATCCCTCCTTGGTCACTGAAGGCTCCTTCGAGTGTTCCTTTCCTATTCCTGCTGATGACAGTCTGTTGGAAACCCAATAAGAGAAAATCAAGCTGAGGCACAGGAATGTTTTGCCACCAAGGAGGGCCATGTGGTAAGCTTCATTTGTTCTAAGCTCAAACTGGCTCTGAGATGCAAGTCTTGGGTCTCTTGTTAGCAGGGTGTGTGTGGGCTGATGAGGCACTGTCAGCAATGTTGAGGCTGCTCTCCATGAAAAGGTGAAGGCCATGCAGCTCCTCCAAAAGGAGATAGTCCAAGTACCAGTTCCATTTCTTTTTCTGCAGGCAGAGAAAAAGCACAGTAACAGAGTACTCTGTTTTTTTTTAAAAAAAGGTGTGTAAACTTTATCTTTTTCCTCTTTTATATCTTGCAACACTATCATTTTAAAATATTCTAAACCTACCTCCGAACAAGATGAACATGTTCAGATACTAAGCTGCCGATTGGGAGCGTGCAGAGGGGCGTCCTCCTTCCAGATATAGACTAAACTCCATGTGCTATTTTCCAAGCTGGCCTGCTTTGTTAGCGCTGTCTATTCACCTTCCTTCTGTTTTTTCAGGGAATTTTTAAATGATTCAGTGGTCTTTTTCTTTGCCTTCCACCACTCCCACCCGCCTTTCGGTGACCCTATCGCTAGCCTCGCCCCTTCCACCACTTCAACAAATCACAGGAAAAACAAAACCTGCAGAGTCAAGCAAAAGAAATGCCCTTAGTGCCCACATCCCAAAGCATCTGCCTCATTCTACACCTTGAGCCTCTCGCCCTCCGTCAGGAGGTGGGCGGCCTGCCACATCACTGCTGCTCTTTATTGCACTGATTGGTTCTCAAGTCTTTCTTAGTTGTTTTTCTTTATGATGCTGTTGGTAAATAAATAAATTATTCTCCATTTTCTCCCCACTCGGTGCTAAGTATTTTTACCAGTCCTTAAGACATGTATGCATATTAAAATCGAACCACAGATGGGCTGGATTCACAAGAACAAAGTTATTAAGTTAAACTGAACCCAGAAATGCTCGCCAAGCCAACTGGCGCTTGTCACTCCAATAGCATTTATTAAGTGCCCAGCCAAACACAGCACTGTGAGATGCAAGTTAGACATCTTTCCCAACCACTAGGAACTTAACGGTTACAACAGCTCACATAGATGCAGACACTTGTACATTCACAGGAGATGACTGTAAAGCACCATGACCTGTGCAGTTTCTGTAATCAGGTGTATTACTGTCTAGACACATCTTACACAGACACGTGCAAAGTGAGAGATGGGAGCTGCCAATAGCAAAAGTCAAGCTACTGGATAGCTGCAAAATTTCTACGTGCAAATCCTGTGCCCCAAAATGTGGACACTGAGCACAAAAAGAAGGCTTTTCAAAGACCTGTAAAACTGACCGATTTCAGTGGATAATCTTTGCTTTAGTGGACTGATGCTGAAGCATGCCCTTCCATTGCTGGCAGAAAGGTGGGGGGTTAGATGTATGGAAAGAACCGTACAATGTCAGACATATGGGGGTGTGTGTGTGTGTGTGTGTGTGTGTGTGTGTGTGTGTTGTACTTAACTGTACTAATAACTCAATTTATTATTACAAGACAATCTTCTCTTGGGTGAAGAAGCAGGGTGGGAGAGGTGAGGTGGAGACATACTAGGAGAATAATTGGGAAGTGATAGAAACATTAAAAAAAATAAACAAAATATTTTTAAGACACCTCTGAAAAAGGTAATGGATTTGTTTAAAATTTGAAATTTCCTTTAGCATTTACCTGAATGGAAGACAAAGAAAGTTCCTTTTCTGCTGGCCATCCCTTAAAGAGGAGAAAACAGTGTTAGCTGAATCACAGGAAAATTAATTGAGGCTTCTCCAAATTTTGAATAACTTAAAAATCATCAAAGATCTCAAAGAATACATAATGTAAAAGGAAGAGAGCTGGGGGATCATGAGGTCCAAAAGAAACACTATTTTCAGATTCTGGTATAGTATCAGGTGCTTATTTTTAAAAAGTTTCCTTTATCACAAAGGAGAATTCAATGTGGTGTCAAAATTACAAGACGAATATAAAAGGGATCAATACAGCATTTACAAAAAGAGAAGATCGAGGCTTCTCAAGCTGCTGCTGGGCAAGGGTTCTACCGGGCAGTCTTTCTTGGGTTCCTCTTGGACATTAATCCCAGTTTTCCTACTTTCACATCCCTTTTAAATCCTGAAGACAAGCTAAACAAAAGAGATGATTCTGTGAAAGCAGAGGTCAGCATGAGCTGGGCTGGAGTGGGGCACGCACCACATTAATATTTGGTGACAAAGGTTTGAAGGCAACATTGGGATGCAGAAGTCACCGAGCATCCCGACTGGGTCCAGGCACACATTTCTATCATCTAACTGAACCTCACAGCAGCAAGGGTCCTTTTACTCCCTCCTGATTGATTTTCTATTGAACTTCCTAGAACAGCCTTTTCAAACTCCTTCTTTCCTCGAGCCTTTCACGCCATCCTGTCCTGCTCTCCTTCACCCACACTTCACTGAGAAGAGGCCATTCACTAGAAACGGCCACTTTTCTACATCTTCCTCCCCTATTTTCTCCTCCTTTAGTCTGATGAAAAGGCCAACCCTTTGACCCGTATGCTTGATCCGGTTACCTCTCCATGTTTGCTGTCACAATCATCCCCTCTCCTTAATTTGCTATCTTTCCTATCTACTACTGGTTTATTCCCTGATTGATAAAATATGCTAGGTGTCTCTAATCTTTAAAAAACCTTCGCTTTTTTTATCCTCTCAATCTGTCTCCCTATTTTCCTATATCTCTCCTCTCTTTTCGAACCAAAGTCTTAGAAAAAATTATCTACACTCTGCCCCTACTTCCTTTCCTTAGTCCTCAAGCCTTTGCAACTTGGCTTCTATTTGCATCACTCGACTTGAAACTGCTCTCTCCAAAGTCATCAGTAATCCACTAACTGCCAAGTCAAATGGCTGCTTCTCAACTCTCATCCTTCTTGATTGAGCACATTCTCTCTCTCTCTCTTCCTCTCTATCTCTGTCTTTTCCTCTCTTTCTCTCTTCTTCTTTTTCTTCTCTCTTTTCCTCTCTGTCTCACTCTCTTCCTCTTTTCCTCTCCTCTCTCTTCCTCTGTCTCTGTCTCACTCTCTCTCTTCCTCTCTCCCTTTCTCTCTGTCTCACTCTATCTCTCTATTCCTCTTTTCCTCTCCTGTCTTTTCCTCTCTCTTCCTCTCTGTTTGTCTCACTCTCTTCCTCTTCTCTCTTTTCCTCTCTCTGTCTCTGTCTCACTCTCTCTCTTCCTCT